GGCCCGGCCGGCGCCGCGTCCCAGGGCCTCCCCAGACTCATTCATTCCGTCTCCGTGCCAGGCCGACTCTCAGGCCCAGGCTGTCTGGGCGCCGGCCTGGGACCCCGCCGAGGCCGCCACCAATCCCGCCCCTCCCAGCTCCCGGGCCAAAGGGGGCGCGGACGGGGACAGCGGACCCGGGGAGGTCGGGGGGGGGGGCCGGCTCCGAGGGGCTGACGTCTCTGCAGCCTGCAGCCGGCAGCCGGAGGAGGGTCCTGAGACCATCTGCGGGAGTATCTTCAAAGAGCGGCCAGGTGGCCGGCCCTGCAAGCTCCAGAGGCCGGCGGTGGGACTGAGCCAGGCCTGTATGAGGAGGAATCATAATGAGAGAAGCTGCTGGTCTTCCGAGCCGAGCCGGGTGGACGAGGCTTAAGGAATTTCATCTGACCCACAGCTCTGCCGCACCAACAGGCCTGAGTGAGAGGGGGATAATGGAGGGAGTAGGGAGAACAAAGGGCACTGGGGAGCCACAGCGGAGTTTAGAGCAGGAGAGGAGTCACCTCAGTTTATGTGTGTGAGGGCCACTGGGGCTGCCAGGTGGGGAACGGATGAAGGAGGCCAATGGCAGGGGAGGGGGAGGGCTTGGAGTCAGAAGAGGCTGAACTGACCTAGGACCCCCAGGGACATGGCGGAGGCTCGACCAGGTTGAGAACTGGGTGGATTCTTGGATGGATCTTGAAGGGGAGATGACAGGATTGCCACTGGACAGGATGTGGGATGACAGGCATCAGGGTCCCCGTCTGCAAGCTGAGCCCCTGGAAGGACACAGGGACGTGAATGGTGCCCAGAACTTGACAGTGGGGAATGCTGGGTGGGCAGCTGGATGCCTAGGTTGGGGTTCAGGGTGAGTCCTGGACTGGGCTAGAGGTGGAGCTCCCCAGGGTTACAGAGGTTACAGCCAACTCCGTCCCCTGCCACCCCCTCGGTTCCTAGGGTAGACAGAGTTCTTCATACTACATGTGTCACCATGTGGACCCTACCGACCAGGACTGAGGCAGGACCTGTTTCCACCAACATGTTCCGAGAAGAACACGAGCCCTCAGGCCCTGAACCCACTTACTCAGTGGGGCGGGGGTGGGGGGCAGAGAGAGAGATTCTTCCAAATCTCTTAGGTTTTGCTGTCTTACAAACCTGCCCAGCAGGTGCTCAGTCACCAGGGGTGTAAAGGGAAACAGCCTTGGATGAGTGCTGGAGAAAGATGGGGCAGGACATGCCCCAGCCCTGGGGGATGGGGTGTGGGGGGCTGCCTTCCCCCTCACAGGCCTTTGCCCACCCTTTACAATGACCGTGCATCCATTTAGCGTGAAAACAGTGAGATAAATGAGCCAAGGTGGAACCAACATGAAGACTCCGTGAACCATCAGGGCTCTGGGGGCCAGCTTTTCTCTAAGTGTGCTGTGTAACCTTGGGTCTGCTTCTTAACCTCTCTGAGCCTCACTTCCCCACCTCCTAGGGACTGCTGGGAGGGTTTACAGAGTGAGCATAGGCGAAGGACTTGGAACAGGGCCGAGCACATGCTCACTCAGGGGTTGGCAAACTTTTTCTGTAAAGGGCCAGACAGTAAATCTTTTCGGCATTGCAGGCCAGTGGGTCTCTGTCGCAAGGACTCAGCTCCGCCATTGCAATGCTATAGTGGCCAGAGGCCGTATGGGCCACATCGTGTGGCTGTGTGCCAATAAAACTTTATTTACAAAACGGGCATGCCCACCCTCAACGTCCTCTGCGCCTTGGACTCCAGGGGGTCTCACACTGGGCTCTGTGTGGGCCCCAAGACCCCACTCCTCCCTGTTCCTGAGTCAGAGACCCCTTCCTTTCCCAGCCCTGACCCCAGGTCAGCCCACAGCCCCCAGGGTCTCCCTGCCCCTCTCCTCTCCTCCCCTCGCCCTCACCTGCCCCACTCAGACACTTCTATAACTCCCCAGGGCCCTGCAGCCTGGCTCTTGGGGCCCAGCTGAGCCCTTGAAGGTGCCTTTCCTTCCCCCGCCCTAGACACGCACCCTCCTCCACGAGCACCCTCCCCACCTTCCCAGTGCCACTGGGCCTCCTCCGTGCCCTAAAACGCTGCCCCTTCCCTGTGCTCCTCACCCACTCTGGTCGCTCTTTTCCCACTTAATTCTGCTGCGGATGATGTCTTGCTGTTGTTTCCTGGCTCCACCAGGCAGAGCTGTGTCCCCGGCACACCAGCCGAGCCAGCACACAGCAGGCGCTCAGCCAGTAGAGCCAGCACACAGCAGGCGCTCAGTAAACGCTCGTGGGATGAATGACTGCCAGTCTCCCACTGTCTCCTCTGACTTTCCCGAGGGAAGGATGGCGCTGGTGTCCAGTTCACAGATGAGGGCGTCCAGAGCACCCAGCCCCTGGCTGAGCTCTTGCCAGCGGCCTCAGAGAGGCACCTGGCTCACCCATTCCCCAGAGGAGGGGACAGAGGCTCAGACAGCTGTGGGGGCAGCTTGGGGACCCCAACTGTAGCCAAGCCGCTTCCCCCACTGCCCCTCCCAGCAGAAATCCTGGAGGCTCTGAGGGCAGACAAGGTAAAGGAGGTGAGGCTCTGCCCCCCGGCCTTGGTTCACCCATCCATGGAATGGGCTTGTCAGGGCCCCCATGTGCCAGGTGCTCACACCTACACGACCCTTTCTCCAGGCCTAGGAGAAGGTCTGCAAGGGGTAATGGTGTCCATCACGACCCCACACTGATCCTGGCTGCCATCTAGAGTGGGTCTGGCTGCGGTTGGAAGGGCTGTTGGAAGGGCTGTTTATTCCTGAGGCCTTGTTGTCCACTTCGAGAAAGAAGAAGCAATTTACTTGGAATGTGAGTTAATGGGGTTAAAAAGTGAAGTGTGGGATTTAAGGAAAAGTGTCACTGACTGACGTCTGGCCTGTGCCCTGTTCCAAGCACCAGTCCCACTCACAGACGAGGAAACTCAGGCACACAGGAGCCAGTTGGGGGTGGGGTGGGGTCCCTGGGCTCCGACACTGAGTCTTGGGGTTTCCTGGGAAGATTTTGAGCTTTCCTCAAATTCTCAGGGGTTCTTGACCACCCTCCATGCTTCTGCTGCTGTTCTGGGCTGTGGGAAGGGGCTGTGCACTTACTGAGCACCAACTGCATGCCCCACTCAGGGCTAGGTGATGAGCACCTTCTGCATGCATGCCCCACTCAGTTGCTCAGGAACTGACTATGAGCTAATCTCCTCAGTATATAAAGAGCCCCAACAAATCAATAACAAGCATAAGCATTCAGTAAAAGGAGCTATTATTATTATTATTGTCATTGTCACTGTCACCATTATTGTTGTTGAGTCGGCTCTGACTTGGAAAGCCACCCAAATCCTCCATAGAAAGACTCTTCAGGGATGACAGTCTTGGAGTTCTGGGTTCAAGACCCTGTACGGACCAGCTGGGCTCCCCTTTCTGGGCCTCAGTTTGGGGACTGGAGACACTGAGCCCCACCCAGGCCACTCCTCAGGGCTTCAAGGGGCTTGGTTGTCTGGAACGTGAAGGACGGTTGCTGGTTTCACAACTGCTCAGCAGACAAGAAGGAAATAGGCCAGACTGTGGGGAGGCTCGACCAGCCCCGGCAGAGCCAACAGGGGCTGGCCTGAGGCTGCAACCCTGGCCGCACTGCTCCCTTGCTGTGCAGCCCTCGTCAAGGGCTTAACCTCTCTGTGCCTCTGTTTCCCTGTCAGTAACATGGGGACAGAAACAATACTGACAGCCTTGGGTTGCTGTAGGACTGAACGTATTCCACACACCTGCAGCTTCAGGTAATACTCGTACCTATCTGCCCCCAGGGGGGTGTGGCTGGGGAAGTGACGAGGCCTGGGGTTGGGGGAGCAGTGACAGGACAGCCCCAGGCCTGGGTCCAGAGTGGACAGGAGCTACCAAAGTCTCCCAAGGAACCCTCCACTACCGAGGCATTGACTTCAGAGGGAAACGCGGGGCCCGGCTCTAGCCGAGCCCCCAGAAACGACTCCCTCTGCCCTCGTGGTTCCTGTTTTCCTCCCGGCCCCAGGCCGTGCTGCATTCCTGCAGCTGCTGTGACCATCGCTGCAGACCCAGTGGCTCAGAATGACACTCGCTGGCCTGGTCAGTGGGCCTCACTGGGCTAAAACCCAGGTGTCTGCAGGCCAGCAGGGCTGGTTCCCAGACCAGCGGGTTTCGCCCTCTCCCTGCCGCTTCCAAGGCTGTGCCTCAGTTTCCTTGTCTGTAAAGCAGGGATGATGATAACACCCCTGAAACACAGGGAACAGAGGTTGGCTAAATACCGCCCCACGATGTCCCGTTCTAGTCCCCAGACCCCTCTCACGGCAGAAGGGACTCTGCAGGGGGGATTAAGTTAAGATCCCTGGGATGGAGGTGACCCTGGATTCCTAGGGGTCCTGGTGTCATCACAGGGTCCTCATCAGTGGGAGGCGGGGGGTCAGAGTCAGAGAGAGATGGGAGATGCTGCGCTGCTGGCGGTGAGGATGGAGGGAGGGGCCGGGGGCCAGGGATGCAGCGCCTCTAGAAGCTGGAAGAGGCAGGAGCCGCTTCTCCCTGGAGCCTCCGGAGGGACCAGCCCCTGCACATGCCTGGATTGAGCCCCATGAGGCCCGAGCAGGACTCCTGACGCGAGGACTATCGGAGAATCAATCTGTGTGGTTTGAGGCCACGAAGTTTGTGGTGGTCGTTACAGCAGTGGCAGGAGACTCACAGTCACTCACAAGTGCCGGGCATGTGTGAGAGCCTGGCGATATTCAGGGGTTCAGTGGAAGGCCCTTGCTCACCCACCTTGCCCCACAGGGACCCTGAAAGGTGGGATTGTGCCCCTACGGCCAGGGAGAAACACGTCTGTGTGACGCCTCCTGCGGCTGCCAGGGTGCTGAGCACCATGAGGTGGCCTGGCGAGTGGCTGCCTGAGGGGTGGGCTGCAGGTCTGGAGGGCTCCAGCCTCAGCAGCCCATGCCTGCACCTCTGGCAGCAGGAGCCTCAGCACCTTCAGGGTGGTCCACTCAGCCCACGCTGAGTCCACTGGCTTTCCTCCACACAACGTATGCGACTGTGCCCTGCCTGCTGGGTGATGCCCAGCCAGACCCCAAGACCCCCAGCTCCTTGGCGTGGCCTGGCTGGCTGGACCAGGCAGGGAAACCCCACCTCGGAGGGAAGGGAAGGATCCAGGCTGGTGAACACGCTCAGGACAAAGCCTGGAGCTGGGGAGGCCTCCAGCCATGATCATCGTTACTGTAATTCCTGTTATTCCTCTGTCTCTCCCTCTGCCTCTCTCTCTCTTACTCTATCTCTGCCTCTCTGTCTCTCTCTCTGTCTCTGTCCCTGGGTCTCTCCCCACCTCCAGCTCCACCCT